CCCCATCTTATCTTAAAGACCTTATAGTACTGCAGCACCGATAGAGCACGTGTGCTCTATCGGTGCTCACTGATAGTGGGAAACCTGCAAGTAAGTCAGTGGTCTCAGAGACAAGTACTGCACTCTGAGACCACTGACTTACTTGCAGGTTTCCCCACTATCAGTGAACTTCTATCCTCAGGCCAAGTGCTAGGACCTTTTGTCCCATTCCACAACTTTCACTGTCATATCTGATTGGTTATATCACACGCTGCTACACCGTTTATGTTTATATTACCCTGGTCGCTGTTGTACATTACACTGGTTACTCTACTTGCACTGCTCTGTCAATAAATTGCCATGCTAATAAGGCAGAAAGCACTTTAACATTCCATTTGCACAATGTACATTTCCAGAGTTTAAACTTATTTATTGTTTAAGTCTTGATCAAAGGAGCAGTTCAGAACATTTCATTGTTGTACTTGTACGACAATGTATTTGACAAAGAATCTTGCGGTTCCTGGAGTATTCAGAAGTAGGACAGGAGGCAGAGTCTTCAGCTGTCAGGCGCATCTTCTGTGGAACCACCTTCAAATTTGGATTTAGGAGACAGACCCCATCTCTACTTTTAAAAATAGGCTTAAAACATTTGTTATAGCATATAGTTGGGGCTGGATCAGGTGAACCAAAAACCTCCCTTTGTTATGCTGCAATAGTTTCTGGGGGATTCCCATGATACACCAAGTATTTTTAGTCACCTTTCACACTTTGTTTATAAACCACTCTGTATTTAATCCTTAGTAATTATCTTTGGGGAGAGCTCTTCCACAGCATCTCTTATCTGCAGTGTAAAATTTCAATCTGCTTTGTATACAAGTTTCTACAAATTGTAACTCTTAACAGAAGGAAAGCATTGTGTTGGCATCATACACACATCTTGTCAAACTTTATTACCAAATCATTCAATAAATGCTTACAGAGTCAAGATGAAAGTTATTTTAATTGGAAAGGTCTGTACAGTGATTCAGAAGGCTCAACATTGCTGTGCCTAAGAGAAAACATTCATGAATAAAGGCCATTGAAAACCAGTTATCTCAATAATCGTTTCCATCACTATGCCCATTGGTCCCTTTGTGTGGCTATTACATTAGCACCACAATCTGTGCCTTAAAGAAATAAATCACACTTAAAATTCACTCCTGTTACTCAGCCAGTAAGAAGAGCTCACCCACATGAAGGTTGAGCAGAAATTGGACTTTTTAAAAAGTTTAACTTTCTAGAAGTAACTCACCTGGTGGGGATACTGGAGTTGCTTGCTGGGTAGACCAATAACTTTGCCCCTGTAGATGGGCAACACAGTCATGTAGTGTGGATGCTTGGACCGGTAGTAAGGCTGGTAGTGTGGCCATTTTGCATGGTACTGAGGCATCTGGAGTGAGTATAGTGGCCACTTGGCCTGATAGTGAGGTCTCTGACGCTGGTAAAGTGGACAGTCAGGCCACTGGGGCAGGAAACCAGGCAGCCTGAGTGGAGAACCAAGCTGGTGGGACACCCGAGGCTCCTTGGACCGGCAGAAGTGCTTGGGCTGGCAGGAAGGCGTCCAGTTTGGCGGAGTTCCCCAAGATAGGGAGTCAACCTGCTGTCGGGGACACGGTGGTGCACTGGTGAACTGCTGGGCCTTCTGGGGAAGGCATAAACCCTTTGAGCTGTGCCGGCATACACGCTGAATGGGTGCCTGAGGTTGATGCTGCTGCTGGGGGACCCGTGACTGCAAACCAGACTTCGCTACCTGTGACATTTGAGGGTGTGCATAAAACTAGTTATCAGGCAGAGACTTGGACGGTTAGATTCACTGTTGTCCCAGGATCACTTGCCTTTGCATTCAGGGTTAAAATATGAACAGCATTTGACTCGCTGCGCCATGAAGCATTCCCTCTGGGGTAACGACTGCCTGAATCTGGTTGGTATCCAGCAAAAAGCAGTTTGTTAACCTTTAAGAATATTTAATCTATGCAATTAACCAGTGATGCAATTTAACTTGCTTACCGTTTGCTTGATGACTTCCAACAGTGAGAAGTAGCAACAACAACAGCCATCTAAAGAAAACAAGTGTCTGTGAGCTCTAACTGAAAACTTTTAGCTTCATAGAAACC